GTTCGTCTAGCTGATGGCTAACAAACATCGAAGCATAAGGAAATACATGAAAAATGAAGCCGCAAGACTTCCTTTTGTACGTATATATGAAAAAAATACAAAGCTCCATTTACGATATTGGCATTATATACAAAATCAGAAAAGGAAAATCCAATCTACGTCCCCCTCGGGGACTATGGCCCATCGGGCTCTTTCTCACTATCTTCGGCATCGGACAGAAGAAACTTAGCATCATACTCATCCGCATTTGCCTGCTCTATCTCTTCCGAGAGGTCGAAACCTCTAGCGTGTATCTCCTCGAGGGTTTCCCTCCGAGATTTACATCTAACATACTCTTTGTTCCTACTCTCCCGGTAGAGAGCCCTTCTCAGCTCAGCTCGAGCGTTGGCGGCGTCTTGCAAAAAGACGGCCACTTTCTTATCAGCCTTAGTTCGGACCACTTTGGCTTCAGTCCGAGCATCTACAACCTCTGCCTTCATCTTTAAAATTTCAGACTCGAGCCTTGCAATCATGCTTGTTCGGATCGGGCTATTTGCACGAGCGTTCCGGAATTGCACCTCAAGGGCGGAAGCCTTGGCTAAAATATCCCTCTGTGCTACAACTTGGGCTTCTAGCTCATTACGCTCACGCTTAACCTGGCCAACTTCGCCCCAAAGTCGTTTCAGATCCTCTGTTTTTCTCTGCAGCTGAAACAGAAGAACATTAGCCTACAAAGGCAGAAGGAGGAGCATACATCGGCTCAAAACAAGGGTTACCTGCTTTTCGAGACAGCCCTCGTATTTTCGACTTCGCTCCGCCTCATAACGCAGGTATACCAGCTCATCTCCCCTTTTTTGCAAAGAAGCCTGAGGGATTTCTCCCCATCCAAACCTTTCCGCAGCCTGGCCTCACGGCGTTGTAGCTCGGACTTAAGCTTGTCAAATGCCTGCGAAAAAGGAGCTCAATAAGAAAGGGAAGACGCGAAACTAAAAAAGCATGTACCAGCTGCCAAAACTCACCATGAAACTGAGCCGCTGAGCTTCGTCAAAAGTTGAACACACATCTACTGGCTTGGCCTCATCGGCCCCGTAAAAACTATTCCCAATGGGTGTACGGTCGCCCGACGCTCCATTTGAGTCGCTCGGCCCCTGGCCTCGAATGTCCCTCAAAGTGCCTTCGACGGGAATGGGAGATGGCGACAAAAAAGAAACTATCTTTCCAAAAATAGAGGACTTAGAGGCCGCAGGATCAACCGACACGTCTCTTTTGACCTTCCGAGAAGGGCTCGCTTCACTGCAAGCGTCCTCGTCCTTCGAGGATTCCATCTATTTGTTATCAATCCTCGGTCTTGAGGTTATCAATCTTTCCTCTTCCCCGAGGGGACACGGCCTCATCTCGGAAAACCCTCCAACACCTGCGGCAGCGGAGTAAGTGCACTAAAAAGAAAGTACCTTTCTGAGAAAACAAGCCACTATGCACCTACCATGATGTTTTTCCGCCCATCTCCCCTTGGACAGGTCTCGTCACTTGCACTTATCATAAGTCGAGCAAGCTTCCAGCTTACGAGACCATTCCGTCAGATCGGGAACCTCGTTCGGCAGCCAAGGGATCGCTACATAAAACAAAAAGAAGAACATCTTCACGGAGCTCGCCTCCACTATAGACAAAAACAATAAAAGCACAAGTGTACCACTTACGTGGAAAATTCCATTTCTCAGGAAATGGCAGAAACTCTCCAAGGATAATATCGACCGTCCGTGCTTGAACAAATAAACTCATCAACCCTTGGTCCTCGTCCTCTTCATTGTTAACGGCGAGGGGCCGGGTTGATCGACATCGCAGAGTAATCAAGTCCCGGTAATGCAAAGGCCGGTACAGCCTAATGAGATGACTAAGGGTGAACTCAAGCACTGCTTCCTCCGCGAAAAATCTCATCATCAACAGTGTCCTCCAAAATGACGGATGAACATCTGCCAAGGTAGCCTGATACTTTCGACAGAAGTCAAGTACAGCCCTATCAAGGGGACCCGGCGTAAAGGGGTACGTGTACATATTCAAAATCCCCTCGGCATGATCGATAACGCTCTCTTCCGGGGAAGGTACCTGTAGTACTACCTTTCCCCCCCATCCACAATCTTTCCTCACCGACTCAAGGTACCCCTCTCCTATTAAAGAAATAAACTTCGAGGTATACTCCCGATGACACTGAACATCGGGAGGTTTTTCTGACGAAAAGTCCCCCCTCGAAGCAAAATGTCCCGAGGTTGGCTCGCCTGGCATCAGCGGCGCTCCGCCAACCAGGCGAGAACCAGAGACGAAACTTCCTCCTCCTTGCCGAACGGGTCGTGGCATAGCATCCATAGTTGTAGTAAAATCAGGGAATTGGAGCGGGAATTTGAACAAGGTCTTAGAAGTTAGAATGGTGAAGGACCTAACGCGGGAAAGGAGAACTCTGTGAAGGAGGATAGCTACTCAGAAAAGAGGGATCCTCAAAAGAGGGAAAACAAACCTATATATACAGAGAAAGCGGAGACTGTCTGCCTACCCCAAAGGCCAATTAAAAATACTAACTAGGCCATCATCACTTTGGGAATATGTACCGGCGCGATCGCCCCGGTCGCTTCATAACCATGTCATACAATTAATGTTTCCATACGATATTTCAGGGATCAAAAACTCCCGCATCAACAAGCCTCGAGATGGTACCCGATCTCGAGGACCTCTGTCAAGAAGAAGATAGGCTCTGAGGAGCCATTGATATCATTACAAGCCTCGAGATGGTACCCTATCTCGAGGACCTCTGTCAAGAAGGAGATAGGCTCTAAGGAGCCATTGATATCATTACAAGTCTCGAGATGGTACCCGATCTCGAGGACCTCTGTCAAGAAGAAAATAGGCTTTAAGGAGCCATTGATATCATGACAAGCCTCGAGATGATACCCGATCTCGAGGACCTCTGTCAAGAAGAAGATAGGCTCTAAAGAGCCATTGGTATCATTACAATCCTCGAGATGGTACCCGATCTCGAGGACCTCTGTCAAGAAGAAGATAGGCTCTAAGGAGCCATTGATATCATTACAAGCCTCGAGATGGTACCCGATCTCGAGGACCTCTGTCAAGAAGAAGATAGGCTCTAAGGAGCCATTGGTATCATTACAAGACTCGAGATGGTACCCGATCTCGAGGATATCTGTCAAAAAGAAGATAAGCTCTAAAAACCTACTTATATGGGCTTGACCTCGAGTGGTACCCTACCCCGAGGATTTCTGCTATTGTAAGTACGGGTCATTTACCCGATTCTCCGGCCCTCAAGCTACCTGAGCCCGAGCCAATTTTCACTCGAAAACTACTAATAAACCATTAGGGTTATTTCTCGCCCTCGGGTCGAGTTAAAACCGTCCTCTCGGTTACTTTAACCCAGGGACCATCTAAATCTGGGTGAGCCCTCATCTGGGATCTATCTGCAACGCCTTAAGACTATCTTCACTCTGAGTTCAAAACAAGTTTCCAGGTCGCCCGAGCTTGAGCGAACTCCCACTCGGGGACTGCTTTCGAAAGCCTAAAGGTTATCTTTATTCTCAGACATCCGAGCAAGTTCCCCCTCGAGGACTATCACCAGGGCCCAAAAGCCTAAGTTTCGTTCTAAAAATTTTGAAGCCCTATTCTCACTCAACCCGAAATCGGGGGCCCTGACGGCCCGAGTTTATCAATCCAATCCGGGCTCAGTCCGAGGAACGACAAAGGGTTCCACAGGGTATCGTGTTAATCAATCAAGAGCCAGAGAAATACTTACACCCGGGCTCGGCATTCGTACCGATCGGTAGAGTCATGCAATCAGATTCTTCGCAAACGCATATAAAGGGAAATGAACCGGCGGCAATATTATCGCTTTGGAGAAGGTAATCCAGCGGTACATTGAATGATTCTGGAAAGATAAACCAATGGGACGCCTCGGTTATCGCAAAGGCTTACGTCATAAGCATGACATCATCTCGGGAAGTTCGAGGAGGTGGATATCGAAGTCTTTTCTTATCGTTTCACTCTAAGAAATGCGGGGACTATCTGTATACGGTAAAATCGGAGGGACCAATTTTCGGTCATTACGACGCTTCATGAGCACGTTTCCAAAGCCTCGAGACTGTGGTCGAGATCCATACCGAGGGGTTATCGACATCGACCTCGGGGAAGTACAGATCGATGGTCATGTTAAAAAAGTGGGCAGTTCCCAAAGCGCGCGACTAGAGCTGACAAGGCCTAGTAGGCTAGTTCAGACCTGTATCATGGCATTAAATGGCTATACCAGCCCCATATCTTTGTAATAAATGCATTTGTACTATTTTGGGATTCCCCCTAATCTATAAAGGGGTTCCTTATCATTTTGTAAAAGGGACACACAAGATCTGACACTCCATATTGAATATACAAGAACATTCTCCATATTGAATATACAAGAACATTCTCCCTGCTTTCTAACTTAACATATTCTCTTGATCTTATTACTTCATTTATTGCTTACATTCACTGTGTTTTATTCATTGTTCTTCATTTATTGCTCATTATTGGTCATAAAGAGCCGCAATCGTAGCTCTCATAACTGTTAATCCTCCCTCGATTGCCCTTAGCCGAGCATCCGGCTCGACCTCAAGGCCCGTATACGGCAGCTCCAGGCCCCGATTTCCGGCCCTTCGGTTTGGTCATTATACTATCTGCTAGCTCTTATCTCATTTTCTAATCTCTTACTTAGCATATATTGCCTAAACAACTAGCATAAAAATAGATCACGTATTTTTAGAACTACAAAATCAAATCTAATTGTAATTACCATTTTCAAGGTAAACATTTATATTTATATTATTATTTTTATTATTTATTATTATTTAGAAGAGCCAAGGTTTCGACCTGGCTGCTTCATGGTATTTAATTTCATATTGAGGGCATATTTGTCTTTTCGTAGGATAACCTCATCAACGTGTTCTTTAACCGTACAATTGAACATCCAGCGCATTAACTGTTCACTTTCCCTTCTATCCTCTTCTGCTAAATTGTTCTAGATCTTTTTCATCTTCATTTATCTTTATCAAAGTTTCATCCCTTTCTGACGTGCTTTGCTCATTAGTCTTCTCCGTTGCGTCTTACCCTGTTCAAGTCACCAGATGCCATCTTTTCTCGAAGATTAGCCTTTTTCTAGCGTCGCTCAAATTTTTTTTTTTTTTTGTAAGAATTTTATGGTTTTCAATTAATCACTCAATTACTAGCTCTTCTAAGAAATTTTGTGTTCCAAGGACCAAGGTCAACCAAGTTATGTGGAATTAATTGTTATTTAGCTGATAAGCTTAATTGCTTTTGGTGGATCAGATAGCCAGCATTTCTTACAACAAATCATGGTAATGTCGCATTGGAAATGTCAAACTGCTTACGATTAACATGTACGCCTAATCATTTGTGAGATGCGGAAAAGAATGTTTTGTGTTACATAGCTCTTGCACTCCCTATCATTCGAGAAAGAAAAACTTGATCGTTTTGGTATTCATTCTCCATTGGGTGCATGTTTGAATATAAAGAGTAAACCACCTCTAATTTTACTGTACCATTATCTGTTTATCTGAAAGCTCTACATTGAATTGAGAGTACCAAAACTGACAACTCATATATGTACATGCCAGTGATAAAACTCCATTTAATTTAATTTATACAGAGATGATATTTTTACTACATTACTTCAGTTTGATTCCTTGCACAAGCTTAATGGTTATGTGAAAATAACATGCTTGCTTGGTTAGCTTCTGATTGTCACATGAATATCATTTATGTTGGGGGCTAAATTCTATTTCTAACTTTTGCTAACTTACTGCTTTGAAAGGGATGGCTAAGGAGGATCCATTGAAACCTGGTGAAACTTGTGATTGAAGACTACCATTATGCAAAATGACCTACTCATATAGTATGATCGTGTTGGTTGTTGAATTCATTCGAGAAAGAAAAACTTGATCGTGTTGCTATTTATTCTCCATTGCGTGCATGTTGGACATATATATAAAGAGCAAACGGTTTCTACATTAGATGTGCCATCATCTGCTTGTCTGAAAGCACTACGTTGTACTACTACTCTCTTTTTTCTGAAGCACCTAATGCCTAGGAATGGAAGTGAAGTTGAAGTTGAAGTTGAAGTTGTATTCTGGACTTCATTCTGGACTTCTTTGTCTGAAATTTACAAGTGCTGAAGTTGTATTTTCTATTCTGAATGAGGTTCATAATCTTACACATCTTCATCATGATCTTTCCCCAAGTCACCTCCAATAACGATGTATGTTTCAGTGTTGTGGATTGATTTGAAGATGTACTTCATCCAGAAATAATGTGCTTGAACAGGTGTGTGGCGAATGTCATTTTGCATGACTGTCTTCTGGGTGCAATTTGGAGAAGGAAGCAATGATCATTGTGCTTGTGAAATACCCATAAAACTATTTCACTTATGTATTTGTGAAACCATAGCTATTATATTAGGTATTTATTGCTATATAGGTTGTCTATAGCTTATTTGCTAGTTATTTACATGTAGGAAAATAAAATATATTATTTTCAACTTTTATAATTATAGTAAAAGAATTCAATTTCACATAGTTCATAGTAGAGACAATGGCTACACTACTCGAGCAGGCTCCTACTTATAATTTGATTAAAAAAATTGATAATAAACTCAACTTCATATTATTAATTCAGTAGGCTATCATACCAAGTGCACCTGTTTGAGGAATATTAAGTCTGTTTCATAATTGGGATGCAATGACCAAAGGAGGTTTGCTGCAAGTTAAAAGAATCAGGGCCATTGAACTGTGCTAAGGCTTCACCAGAATCTTTTCATTTGCATAACTCAGTATGTCAATAAGCAGAACAGTAAAGTTGAATAGGAAGGGCAGCAACTGAAGCCTTATAATATCCATAAGCAGCTTAAAAGATTGGAAAAATTACATACTAGAGACTTCCTAGTTTGTAAGCTCCATAATGGCAGAGACAATATCACCATCTGCACCCTTGAGAGCTTTGACAGCTTTTGCTCTGGAAACACCTGCTTGAGTCATAACCAGCTCGATATCCTTGGGTTCTACGCCAGTTTCATCTACATCTTCATCGTCCTGAGCTACTGTTGATGGCTCTGGCTTTGATATAACGTTGCTCAAATTAGGAGCCTTGAACTGCTCAGCAGCTTGACTCTGCAATTGTGAGCTCAAATCCTCAATCTTTGCCTCACCAAATATAACGTAAGTGTCTGACGCGGGGCTTTTGAAAACATCCGGTTTTGAGATGACAAATAGAATCTGCAAAAGAGAGGATATAAGGAGAAAGCTAATAACTACAATGTGAGCACTAAAACAGAACATGGAGAAAGAAAAGCAAGAGCGCAATAACAGAATTAACTAACATTCTTGCTCTTCTTGACAGTGACACGGCTAACCCCCGGGATTGGCTTCATTCCGAGCTTTATCATAGCTTTTCGACTCTTCTTCTCGCTCCTGCTCTGCTTTGACCTACCACTAGCATCTCCATCTTCTGCCCAGAATTCCAAGCATTTCAGTATAACACAACAATCAGATAATCAACCCACTGTAACATGCATCACGAAACATTTGTTTTTTCTCAGAAGGAATGCACACTTTGAGAAGCACAAAGAAGGACCCAGAATCTCCTCCGACAAGTTAATCAGGAACATGGCAATAAATAAGCACCTGAGTTAATGTAATTACTCTACTTTCAATAAAACCAAGGCCTGAACTGTATAATTCAACAAAAGAATGAAGTGATATGATTTCACTCCTTTTTTATTTTTTTACTTATATGAAAACATATTCAAAAATGGTAATGCAACAGCAGGGAATTGGGACAGAGACAGGATCAATATGAGAGATACTCCATATTTGTAATACTCCTTCTATCTCATCTTATGTGAGACTCTGGACTGAGTTATCCTAACTTGTTCAACACACTAATACAATCAGTAATTTTGAATGCACCTTTTACAAGTTTCAAGAACTCAGGTTAACCGAAGAATTCAACTTTAAATACAGCTTGAGCTTCCAATTAAATAAAATTCACAAGGAAAAGGAAAATACACAAGCAAAGTCCTTAATCTCCATAGATAGTCGAACCAAAATTGGATGAGTGATACTTAGAACTAGGAAATGCAACTAATGCTTCGAAGGCACCATCTTAGAAGACCAAAAGAATCATTCTCAAATTATTTTACATTCTCAAAAAAAAAAAAAAAAAAAAAGCATCAGAACCAGCAAATTCAGGCTCAGAATTATGAATTATGCTTTTATACTTTTTTTGATAAGTATGAATTATGCTTTAATACTTACCTTCAGCATCATCTTCATCTTTGTCATCGTCATCATCTTCATCATCATCATCATCGGCCTCATCCTCAATAATTGGCTCCTCTGACTACAAAAGAAGATTATACTTGGTTAAAAACCGATACAGAATATACATGAATCACACAACCATGCTCACTTGACAAAAGCTGACTTGAACACCAAGAAATATAATAGCTCTACTTCTAACATTTACCAGTGAACCATTAAAGCATTTAGAGACCACATATAAAATCTAGAAGACCTTTTCCGTTGCTCTGTTGTTTTCTTTGGCTGCGCGCGCGTGTGTGTGTTTCCAACCAAAATTAATCCAATATCCTTAGCAAGGTATAAATTTTATACTTGTGGAAAACTAGGATGCAGTGTTTCAACTCATTCATGAAAGAAAAAGCAGAAGATGCTAAAAAATATTGCATCACTACAACAACATTGGAAGTCGAAGTGACTTCATGGAATTTCTCATTGGTATTAAATGCAAGTAACTATTCAAGCAAACAAATATAGCTAAATTTAGCTGCTCTAGTACATTTATCACATCAACTTTTCAGGTAATCTAGACAGCAACTTTATTGTACAGATGATAACTACAACTGATCTTGGCCTTACTTTGTCAAAAAAGATGATAATCACTGAACCATTAGAACTAGTCATGAAGACGTTGAGAGGAAAAGGAAAGGTGAGGCTGGAAAGGAAGATGTTTTTTTAGGTGGGGGTTGGGGGGGTGGGGGTGGGGGGTATTGGTCATGGTGGCACTCGGGGAAAGGGGCGGACTGCATAGGGAGTCAGAAAACGAAGAAAAGGGAGAGAAACTAGATATGGCCATGCCTCTTAGAAGGGAAATCAGCATCAGGAGAGTATGGAAAGGGTAAGTCAGCCAATCAAGATGTCGATTGAAGAGTAGGGGGNGGGGGGGTCCAATATTGCTCATGGAAGGACCTCATTGCGAGGAGCACATTCCTCCACGTCTCTATATGGCCTGATTTTAACTCAATTGGCCTGACTTACAACTTGTAACCGAGGATGTCAAATGAGCATAAACAAACTTCAACAATTAAATTTACTCTACTAATAGATTTAGCATCCATCTAAGAACAATATGTCGCCTCCTCTTACTGATTTTCCTCTTACTGATTTTCTACTTACCAACTAGGATCTCCATTACAACAATACCAAGTTAGAGATCAAACGAAACTGCGACTTACCGTCTACAATGCAGATTAGATTACAATGGAAAACACCACAAAGCCTAAAGGAAAACTCAATCTTTCACTTAAAAAAGATTGTTTATGGTTGTCCCAGACTAAACAAGTTAGTCTCTCTCACAGAAAAGATTCAAACTTCTGCCATAACAGCCTCAAAAGATTCAAGCTTTTTGAACAAAAGACCATCTATAATGTCCCACAGTAAAACAAGTGAACAATTATTTTTGGTTTATCATCTACTTTTCTTATAGATCCCAAAAGTGAAAAAAATTCAAACAATACCCAACATTCAATAAGATATAATAAAACAATAAAATCAAGTTAAATTGCTATAAAACTTCAAAAAACCCTCATACACAAGCTATAAGGGCCTAAAAAGTTCACAACTTTATGTCTACACATTTGTATGAATACTAAATTGCGGGAAAAGGGAGAATTACTTCAATCTTTTGTTGTTCGAGATGAGCGGCTAGGATCTCTTCTGGGGATTGAGCAGTCATGGTTGCGTTGAGTGAGTGATGATAGAGAGAATTTAGGTTCTTGAATGAAGAAGACAATGGTCCTAAAACCCTAGGATAACCTGTTACTTATTTCCCATTTTCTCTTGGCCCGACCCGAAATGTAGCGGTTGTATAACTTATTAAAAATTAAGTATTTACAAATATTGAAATATTATTTTGAATTCTTTATGATTTTATCCTTAATTTAGTAACATCAAATTGAAATTAAGTGAAATGAGATTTTCAGTCATCATCATTTTTTTAGAGTAAAATTTATGTCCAAGCCTCACGAGTTGAGACTGTTTTACTACTCTACTTCATGGTTTAAATCCTAATTTGAATTTTAAATACTAGAATGACTTATGTTACCACACCAAACATTGGTTAAAGCTCTTTTTCTTTATAAAGTTTCATTCTATTTAAGGGTGTGTTTGGCATGAAGTTTTTCAATTTTCTCATGTTTGGTTGGATTAAATGTTTTGCAAAATATTTTTCTCATGAAGTCATTTTCCTCGAAAAATGTTTTCCATATCAAAAGAAGGGAAAATATTTTTCAAAACTCTTTTTCAACCTTCCCCATCATATTTTCCATCCCCACCAACCCACCCCCACACCCATGCCACACCCAACCCACCCCGTCTACCCCCAACCCCCGCCTACCTCACCTAGGGCTGCTTATCGGGCGGATTGGGCGGTTATTTACTCTTAACGGTTTCGCTTATCGGTTATCGGCTTTTAAATGTATTAATCCGCTAGCCACCCGATAAGATATCGGGGGGATTGGTATCGATTTAGCTCTTATCGGGCAGTTTATCGGCCTAATTCAATCTATATTCAATCAAACAATAACAACAACAACAACTACCCAGTAAAATCCCATATAGTGGGGTCTGGGGAGGGTAATGTGTACGCAGACCTTACCTCTGCCCCGATAGGGGCAGAGAGGCTGTTTCCGATAGACCCTCGGCTCAGAAAGTCGAAAATAAAGTAAGAAAAAACAAGAGGAGAGAATTCATTAGTAACTCCAGTAGAAATCGTAATAGTAACAGAAACATAAAAAATGAAAGATGAATGACATGCAATAACAGTGACCATAATCTAAGGCCCGGGGCTAAGACAAACAACAAGAATAGTGTGGGTCCAACATAAACTGTAAGACATCTAAGACCAATCCTAATCCAACCCCGCCTCACCCCCGGAATGAAGTAAGGAAAGCTTTACTACCCCTATCCTACAACCCTAATGCTTGACCTCCAGGCCTTCCTATCAAGGGTCATGTCCTCGGAAATGAGCAGTCGAGCCACGTCCTGCCTGATCACCTCTCCCCAATACTTCTTAGGTCTCCCTCTACCTCTTCTCGTACCCACCACGGCCAACCGCTCACACCTCCTCACCGGTGCATCGAGGCTTCTCCTCTGCACGTGCCTGAACCATCTGAGCCTCGCTTCCCGCATCTTGTCATCCACAGGGGCGACGCCCACCTTCTTCCGAATATCTTCATTCCTAATCTTGTCTATCCTAGTGTGCCCGCACATCCACCTCAGCATCCGCATCTCTGCTACTTTTATCCTCTGGATATGGGAGTTCTTAACCGGCCAGCACTCTGCCCCATACAACATGGACGGTCTAACTACAACTCTATAAAACTTACCTTTGAGTGTCGGTGGCACTTTCTTGTCACACAAGACTCTAGATGCAAGCCTCCATTTCATCCAGCCCGCCCCTATGCGGTGACTGACGTCCTCGTCGATCTCTCCATCCCCCTGAATCATCGACCTAAGGTACTTGAAGCTATCTCGCTTGGGGATGGCCTGTGGCCCAAGCCTCACGTCCCCGCCTACATCCCTCGACTCAGTGCTAAACTTGCATTCCAGGTACTCTGTCTTAGACCTGCTCAATTTGAAACCCTTAGACTCGAGAGTCTGTCTCCAAACCTCCAATCTCTCGTTAGCACTGGCCCTCATCTCGTCAATTAGAACTATGTCGTCAGCAAACAACATATACCATGGCACCTCCCCTTGAATATGGTGTGTCAAAGCATCCATCACCAAGGCAAATAAGAACGGGCTAAGCGCTGAGCCTTGGTGTAATCCCATAACAACCGGGAAATGCTCCGAGTCGCCTCCCACCATCCGAACCTTAGTCTTAGCTCCATCATACATGTCCTTGATCGCTTGTATGTAGGCTACCGGCACGCCCTTGGTGGGCGGGAGGGGTGGGTGGGTGGGTGGACAGGGGTGTTCAAAACCGAACCGAAAACCGAAAAACCGAACCGCAACCGAAGCTTAATGGCTTATTGGTATCGGGTTAACGGTTTAACGGACGGGGAAGGATTGAAATTTTTTCATTAACGGCTTATCGGTTTGGGGGCGGATTATTTAATTTTCTTAACGGATAATCCGTTAACCCGTTAAGAATATATATATATATATAATATATATATATAATATATAATATTTATTTTTATCCATATATATATTAAATATCAAAAACCCTTCCACTTCAGTCTTCCACTCTTCGAGTACTCTATCTCTTAAGTTCTAACGCCTAATTCCTAAATAATCAGAATTATGAAAAATATGTAGCATAATCCTTGTTAATTATTTTACAAAAGGCAGGAAAGTTCAGAATCAAATTCAAGCATACAAATGTTTTGAATACTCATACAGATGAAGTAGTATTACATTATAAACAAGTCTTTCTCAAGCATAATGCATAAAGGATGCAACAGCACTGAACTGGACAAGATAAGTTAGCCAATGCATCAGTATACGATATAGGTGAGGGCTAGAGATGTCTTTTTCAGGGCATGAACAATGAATATTACAGACACCATGAAAGGTGATGCGCCTGAAATCTTAGTCGTAAACATTGAACTAAGTGAGTTTTCAATTTGTAAGGGAGCTATAGCCAGACATGGATTAACACTCCCATATGGGTTCTAAATTAGTACTTCCGTTTGTAGGTGCATATTTTCTAAGGGGGACACCATATTCAAGGGGAGGTGCCATGGTGTATATTGTTTTGCTGACGACATAGTTCTAATTGACGAGACGAGGATCGGTGTTAACGAGAGATTGGAGGTTTGGAGACAGACTCTCGAGTCTAAGGGTTTCAAATTGAGCAGGTCTAAGACAGAGTACCTGGAATGCAAGTTTAGCGCTGAGTCGAGGGATGTAGGGGGGGACGTGAGGCTTGGGCCACAGGCCATCCCCAAGCGAGATAGCTTCAAGTACCTATAGGTCGATGATTCAGGGGGATGGAGAGATCGACGAGGACGTCAGTCACCGCATAGGGGCGGCTGGATGAAATGGAAGGCTTGCATCTAGAGTCTTTGTGACAAGAAAGTGCCACCGACACTCAAAGGTAAAGTTTTATAGAGTTGTAGTTAGACCGTCCATGTTGTATGGGGGCAGAGTGCTGGCCGGTTAAGAACTCCCATATCCAGAGGATAAAAGTAGCAGAGATGCGGATGCTGAGGTGGATGTGCGGGCCACACTAGGATAGACAAGATTAGGAATGAAGATATTCGGAAGAAGGGTGGGCGTCGCCCCTTGGGATGACAAGATGCGGGAAGCGAGGCTCAGATGGTTCAGGCACGTGAGAGGAGAAAGCCTCGATGCACCGGTGAGGAGGTGTGAGCGGTTGGCCGTGGTGGGTACGAGAAGAGGTAGAGGGAGACCTAAGAAGTATTGGGAGAGGTGATCAGGCAGGACGTGGCTCGACTGCTCATTTCCGAGGACATGACCCTTGATAGGAAGGCCTGGAGGTCAAGCATTTAGGGTTGTAGGATAGGGGTAGTAAAGCTTTCCTTACTTCATTCCGGGGGTGAGGCGGGGTTGGATTAGGATTGGTCTTAGATGTCTTACAGTTTATGTTGGACCCACACTATTCTTGTTGTTTGTCTTAGCCCCGGGCCTTAGATTATGGTCACTGTTATTGCATGTCATTCATCTTTCATTTTTTATGTTTCTGTTACTATTACGATTTCTACTGGAGTTACTAATGAATTCTCTCCTTTGTTTTTTCTTACTTTATTTTCGACTTTCTGAGCCGAGGGTCTATCGGAAACAGCCTCTCTGCCCCTATCGGGGCAGAGGTAAGGTCTGCGTACACATTACCCTCCCCAGACCCCACTATATGGGATTTTACTGGGTAGTTGTTGTTGTTGTTTATTGTTTGATTGAATATAGATTGAATTAGGCCGATAAACTGCCCGATAAGAGCTAAATCAATACCAATCCCCCCATATCTTATCGGGTGGCTAGCGGATTAATACATTTAAAAGCCGATAACCGATAAGCGAAACCGTTAAGAGTAAATAACCGCCCAATCCGCCCGATAAGCAGCCCTAGGTGAGGTAGGCGGGGGTTGGGGGTAGACGGGGTGGGTTGGGTGTGGCATGGGTGGGGGTGGGTTGGTGGGGATGGAAAATATGATGGGGAAGGTTGGAAAAAGAGTTTTGAAAAATATTTTCCCTTCTTTTGATATGGAAAACATTTTTCGAGGAAAATGACTTCATGAGAAAAATATTTTTGCAAAACATTTAATCCAACCCAAACATGAGAAAATTGAAAAACTTCATGCCAAACACACCCTTAAATAGAATGAAACTTTATTAAGAAAAAGAGCTTTAACCAATGTTTGGTTGTGTAACATAAGTCATTCTAGTATTTAAAATTCAAATTAGGATTTAAACCATGAAGTAGAGTAGTAAAACAGTCTCAACTCGTGAGGCTTGGACATAAATTTTACTCTAAAAAAATGATGATGACTGAAAATCTCATTTCACTTAATTTCAATTTGATGTTACTAAATTAAGGATAAAATCATAAAGAATTCAAAATTAATATTTCAATATTTGTTAATACTTAATTTTTAATAAGTTATACAACCGCTACATTTCGGGTCGGGCCAAGAGAAAATGGGAAATAAGTAACAGGTTATCCTAGGGTTTTAGGACCATTGTCTTCTTCATTCAAGAACCTAAATTCTCTCTATCATCACTCACTCAACGCAACCATGACTGCTCAATCCCCAGAAAGAGATCCTAGCCGCTCATCTCGAACAACA